GTAGATTATCAGTTTTCCTATTCAAGGCCAATACTAACTATGGGTGTATCTCTGCCAGTTTTGGGGTATTTCACATTTTGCTTCACTGCTAAATGTTGCAATGTATTTTTTTATGGTGCAACTCCTAACCTGTATCAAAAAAAAAAAAAAAAAACCTGCAGTATTGAGCTTGACAAGCTCTACGAAATGCAAAAAGCGGTTCCAGATTTAGAGACAGTTTTTAGTATTGGCATCTAGCTTCTCTTGTGAAGGCGCACTGATTGACCCTAAACTCCCAAAGATGAAGAGTCCCTAATTGTAACACATCACTATAATTTGAGAGGTTAGGTCTGTGTACTTTCTGAAAATTGGTAAATTTTTTTTGTGAAAAATTCCCATTTTTAGAAAATTTTGGCCCATTTAACCTTGAATTAAAGGTCAAAGGCCAAATCCAAGGACATATTTGTAATCTCCACATATGACTTTCGGTCAGACTTCTGTAGTAATTATTCGAATATTTCCTTTAGTTTAGCAGATATTAAGCATTGGATATTGAAAAGTAGGTCAAAGGTCAAAGTTGCTGTTCTTCTTTTTCTTTTTATTATATATATATATATATATATATATATATATATATATATATATATATATATGACTTCTTATTCAAGTTCAATCATAAATATGGGTGTATCCCTTCCAGGTTTAGAGATAAAAGGGACAAGGTTCCGTGGTGAAAAGTAGGTGAAAGGTCAATTTAAAGGTCACGTAGAGTTAGATCGCAGTATATGACTTCCTATTCAAGGTCAATAGTAACTATAAGTGTATCTCTGCCATTTTTACAGATAAAAGAGGCAAAAAATTTGCAAGTTTACGGTGAAAAGTAGGTCAAAGGTCAATTTCAAGGTCACAGTTTGGCTGCCAGTATGTGACTTCTTATTCAAGGTCAATAGTAACCATGGGTGTTTCTCTGCCACTTTTGGAGTATTTCACATTTTGCTTCACTGCTGAATATTGAAATGTACTTTTTTATATAGCACCTCTTTATTAGCGCATCTCTTCATGCACTTAGATATCAAAACACACACACACACAAAAAAAATGGATTCCACCCCCAGTACTGATCTTGACAAGCTCTAACAAATGCAAAAAAACAAGAGGTCTCTTGTATTAAGGGTTCCAGTTTTATGGAGAGTTTTCAGTTTCGGCATCAAATGGCTGCTTCTCCTGTGAAAATGCACCGATTGACCCCAAACTCCCGAAGATGAAGTCCCAAACTGTAATCCCTCACTTAGGTCTGTGTAGTTTCTAAAAATTGGCACAAACATTTTTTTTTAATCTCCATTTTTAGGAGATTTTGGCCTGTTTGACCTTGAAATAAAGGTCAACTGTCAAATCTAAGAGCGCATTCTCAAAAAATTAAGCCAGGCTTTACAAAGCCGGTGACCTAAAAATGGCGGACGTACATGAAAGAAAAACCGCCTAATCTTTTAATAGTCTCTCCGCCTCCCCACACGTCATCCCTGCGGGGTACAGTAATTAAATCGCGTCTCCGTTCGCCATGCGGAAGCTACCTGAGAAATATTAAGTGCGCATGCTCATCAGTTAAACTCGTGGTGAAGAAAGCATGGCGGCTGAAGGCGATCGAAGGAAAAAAGCTCTTCTGTTCTATTATCTTTGAAAACAGAGACGAAAAAGGAATAATTTGGCCCATAGAGCAGCAATGAATCGACTATCTACGGAGATAATATCAACCGAGATATTCGCGGAAATATTAATGTTCGGAGCCGAGATTTAATTACTGTACCCCGCAGGGACGACGTGTGGGGAGGCATGTGAGAGGCGGAGAGACTATTAAAAGATTAGGCGGTTTTTCTTTCATGTACATCCGCCATTTTTAGGTCACCGGCTTTGTAAAACCTGGCTTAATTCGTTGAGAATGCGCTCTAAGGGCATATTTGGAATCTTCATAATCATATATATATGACATTCAGTCAGAATTCTATAGTAATTTTTTCCAGAATTCCTTTGGTTTGAGAGATAGTTGGCATTGAATTTTCTAAAAATTTGACAAGGGTGCGTTTTAACAAACGTCACACCCAGAATAATGCACCAACAGCTTACAGGCTGGTGGTACTAAAAAATGCGTTGACTGCCATTTTAGTGGTAAAACATAATTTGTTATATTTTCATGAGTTGTTTACAATATTTTTATTAGTAAATATGGATATCATACAAACTGTTGTTATCCCTTTAACAACAACACAGAATAATATTACACAATATGACTTATTAGAAAAAAAAACAATCTCAGCTGATGAATCGCAGGAACAGTAACTTTTAAAAACCATCAGATGTAAAAATTGTAGCTAGAAGATGATGTGCTGCAGCAGTGTAAGAGACTTTGCTTACTAGTTAAAAAAAAAACATTGCAACAGCCTTGATATTATATGTGAAGCATAATGATAATACTAAGAAATGGGATTAAACATTTTAGAATGTTTTTCTCAGGATTAAATAAAAAAATGAAACAAAATATAAGTTCTATCATATAATTCTGAGCAGTTCCTGAAATACATGTATATTGTACAATGCTAAATATCTGCTTGGCCCAAACATTTGTTGAAATGGTTTAATAACAAGTTTATTTTTGTTTCCATTTGATGGTGTTTGCATCATATTGTGATGAAATGTATCATCATACATGTATTATGTATAACTATTATGATTATTACATGAAGTTTTTTTTTTCTTTAGTTAATAACTTATCAACCTACAAATACATACGCCATTGTACTGAATCTGCCTGACTTATAGACTGTTCAGAATAAATTTTATCAACACCCATTTTTTTTTTTTTTAATTTGGAGCAGACCAAGTACATTTGGAGCAGGGCAAGTAGATGCATGTACAGACATATTGTACTTGCCTGAGGGGCAGGTGCCTCATCCTCACTAATAATTCTTATGGGTTCATGGAAATGGGTCACTAACAGTAAAAAGTTTCTCCACTCTACATACATTTTTACTAACACCTAGCTGTGTGCTTACTATAAAACTTAGAAATGCATGCCCTTACAGAACGTAAAATGTTGCCGAAGTACTCCTGGAGTGTAGCAGGAGTACTCCAGCAACTTAAAATTGCTGACAGGAAGTATCCCCACAGGCTAGCCGCTAGCAGCTTGTCTCAGCAATATACAGTGCCTGTTGCCGGAGGTAAGCCACAGGGTTGCCAAAACCTAGTCGCTAGCGGCTACATTCTGGCAACATATGCCTTGTATGTTGCCACAAGGTAGCCACTGTATATAGCAGCTTATCTGTGGCTACATATAGAGCATGTTGCCAGAGGTAAGCCGCAGGGTTGCCGGAAGCTAGCCACTAGCGGCTACTCTCTGGCAATAAACAGATACACACTGTACATTTGCATGTAGACGTACACTTTTCTTGTATTATGAATGATACCGTACTCGGATTA